GGGGCGGCTCGGGGGGTAGGGGGGGGCGGTCACTCTGCTGACATCTCTCACTAAAATCCCTTAAAAATATATGGGTAAAGTATTTTCTTGTGGTGTAAAAATTTGGTGCAGTAATTCATATTGTAGTGAAGGAACTGCGACACGTCAAAACAATATATACCATAAAGGCTGTGTTTTTAAATTTATATGGTAATAAAAGGTCGAATTTACTCGTAAGGGTCAGTCGGTACTTATAGCGGCAACAGGATGTTAATTTATTTTATTATCCCAAGAATAAGACAAAATGTAGATGTTAAAAAAATTGGCACTTCGTAGTAAAAGTTACATTGGGAGCAGTTAAGTAATATTGAATGGTACAACATTAACAGAAAAACTCAAACGACTGTAACACTAACCGACTATAATGATTGTACTCTGAGAGCGAGTGCAACTCTTTCTGACATGAGCTTACTGTCTACAAGAAACTATGACACAGATAATTTACACATCGATATTTGATCCTAAACTTCTGTAGTCGTAAATATACTTTATTTCAAAGATCTCAATCAATTTCCATAAAGACATCCCTCCAACACTGAAGCACCGATATGCGCGGGGCAGCGGCGCAGCGGCCAGTAGCTGAGGAATTGAACCTGGCGCCGCGCCAGATCTCCTACTCTGACAAACAAAACGATTGCGAGATATTCACATTTTCTTTTATATTCCTAGAGAATACTGTGAGTGAGCAACCGTTTCAACCTTTGTTAGCTGACCGAAGTGACTAACGAGTATCTGATTCTGATAAAAGATTAATGGACCGTATAGAAGGATGTGCGATGGCACAGAGATCTCCCGGGACATGGGTCAAAGGGATCGAATCAGTAGTTATTTTAATCATCCGACAATAAAAAATCTATATTCGATACTCGTAATCGATAATGATAATATATTATTACGTACTCCGCCCCCGCCGCCGGTCTCCCCCGTCTCGCGTCCCGTTGTCCCGTTGTCCCATTGTCCCCGTTGTCGATATCTTATATCGAAGATTTTTTACGCATCAAATAAGTTTTAAGTATTTTCCTTGTACTCATAAATTGTTTTAAGAGGCTTAGATTTTCTCAAGGGTGAGGAATTATATATTATAAGGTTGTTAAATAATATAGTTACTATTATTTTGAAGGCTTTTAGTTACGTCGACTTTAGTGTCAGCGTTATTGCCATATTGTACTAAAAGTTGTATGAAAGGAGTGCAGGCCTGAAGTGAAGAAATGCAAACGAACATTACAACCTAGACACTAACCAGTTTTTGCTGTGTTGTTGCCTGTTTTAAGACGTGGTGTTTAGATATATATCAGTACACCGGAAAGTAACCCTTAACAACGGTTAATCCACTTCTGTAACTCTAGCTATTATTATATCACTATATGTAACTTAGTGATAACTGCAACCCCTACGCTGGACATCCGCCACCCCCCCCCCCTGCTGTCAGTCTACCCGCGGCCGGTTTGAAATTGTGTGTCACGTAGCGGCCGCGCCTCGCCTGTGTACCAGCATTGCCGCCAAA